TCGTAAATCGATGACAAGGGTGAACAGGCGAGACAGGCAGTACTCGTAATTGGCTCATTGGATACTTAGTACAAGTGTAGCCATCTATGTGTAAAAACAATCGAACAAGTCGACTCACAGTGGGCATGGCACGTACGTACATGCCATCCCCGGCGGCAATGGGTTAATATTGATAATTTCCTTATAATCACTTGCATTGTTATTCTCATTTTTATAATAATCATCATCATTACTATGATTTTCATTACTATTGTTATAATTTTTCATTGTTATGATTGACATTGCTATTATTATTAATAGCGGTAGTAGTAGTAATACTATCATTGTCCTTATTATCATCATAATGATTATGACTATTATTGGTATTGTCATCATCATTATTATTACTATTTGTATTATTATCATTGTTAATATTACTGTTATTTCAAATATTGACATCATTATTGTTACGTCAATTATCACTATCATCATCATTGTCTCGACGATATCTGGCCTCTGCCGCGCCCTGTCGCTGCACCGCGGGGCTCCCGAGCTGCCACTGTAATGAGAGTACTTATAATGATAAAGGTAAACTGAGTTGTGGTAAAGATTATGAGAGTAATTTTGAATCAATACAAACGAACGGAAGGTAATGATATGAGAGAGTAATTCACAAGACAGCTATTTTAACGGGAATGGCATGTACGTACATGTCATGCCCACTGTGAGTTTACTTGTTTAATTGTTTTAAGACATTGATGGCTACACTTGTACAAAATCACCAATGAGCCAATTACGAGTACTGCCTGTCTCGCCCGTTCACCTTTTCGTTAATTTACGAAAATATTTTACCTTATCTTATTTTGCTGCTACTAATGTTTATAACATTATAGTAATTATAATGTTTATAATAGAAATAACACCATCGATATTCATAGCACTGGTAAAGAATACGTTTTTCCCGCTAATTCAAGGAAAGGTGAAATCAGGTAAGGTCTCAAGATCTACTAATTGACTCGTTTGTGGCTAAGCACTAGCAGAGCCACCTATGTACAAAGACGTTTCACAAAAATATAGTAAATGAGCTCAACATTTTCCCCTTTTGTTTTATTCCTTGGGTTAACAGTCCGACTACGACTGAAAGCAAACCGATAAGGCGAAGCGGCGTCCGCCCACGAGGCCGGAAAGGCTCTCGCGCCGGCAGTCCTTCTCCGGCCAGTGGGCGCTGAGCGGTCGCCCAGGAAATGATCGCGATCAAAGGGCTTTGCGGCCAATATCCTGCAGGCGGCCACGGTCGGGCCGGGGACGGAATTTCCGCGGCTTTGCTTTTCAATTCGCTTTATTGATGTCGATATAAATATATCTATGTATATATATGCATATAAATACATACATATTTATGTGTATGTGTATATGCATGTATGCATATATTTATGTATGTATGAATATATTTATCTATCTATTTATGCATATAAATAGATAAATATATATATATGTATATATATATTCATATATATATATTCATATATATATATATATATTCATATATATTCATATATATACATATATATAAATATATATATATGTATGTATATATACATATATATTTATATACATATATACATATATATACACATACATACATATATATACATATATATACACACAGAGCGAGTGAGCGAGAGAGAGTATAGTGCACCAAATCACACACGCACAAAGGAATGGTATATCCAGTTTTCAGAATGCAACTATAGCTGTCCGTGCCTGCCTTACGAATTAATTGAAACCCGCTCTCATTGCTATTCCGGCGACGCCAAGCTCAAACCCTGCACCTGCGGCTCAGCGAACACTCCTACTCTGAGAGAAATAGGATAGTTTGTTCAGTTATTTATGTCCATTCATCAGAAGGTTTTTCAGAATTCTATATCAGGTACTGACGTTCACACTTAAACACCGATGCCTCCCGCCACGTATGATTGCGGTTTGCTTAAACGAAAACGACGTGCGTAACGGGGCTGCGAGGAATAGCTAATAAGATGGGCTGTACGAACAAGAAAGAAATAACGCAAAAGTATGCACACACACACATACATACATATATATAAATATATATGTGTGTGTATATATATATATATATATATATATATATATATATATATATATATATATATATATATATATATATATATTTATATATATATGTGTGTGTGTGTGTGTGTGTGTTTGTGTATGTGTATATATATATATATATATATATATATATATATATATATACATATATATATGTATATATGTGTGTGTGTGTTTATAGATGTATATGTAAGTGTATATATACATATACAGTGTGTTTGTATATATATACATATACATACATACATACACACAGACTCACATATATGTGTGTATATATGTAAATATATATGTACATATTTTCGTGTGGGTGTGCGTGTGTGTGTTTATATATGTATCTACATTACAGACCAGACCAGTCTGACCCCGAAGGGACCAGAACGAGTCCTGCCTTGGCCCCGCGAACACCTTCCCTCTCGCCTCCCGCAGGAGAGGACGACGCCATTCCGCCACGACTACCAATTTCATATCAGGTTGTCTGTACATTTGAATTGGAGACCATAGTGCGTGTGTGTGTGTGTGTACGTGCGTACGTGCGTGCGTGCGTGCGTGCGTGTGTGTGTGTGTGTGTGTACGTGCGTGCGTGCGTGTGTGTGTGTGTGTACGTGCGTACGTGCGTGCGTGCGTGCATGCGTGCGTGCGCGTGTGTGTGTGTGTGTGTAAATATATATGTATATAGTACACAGTACAAGTATGTATATAGTACACAGTACAAGTATATATACATACACAGTGTGTGTGTATATATATATATATATATATATATATATATATATATATATACATATATATATATATATATATATATATATATATATATATATATATATATATATATACATATATATATATATATATATATATATATATATATATATATATATATATATATATATATATATATATATATATATATATATATATATATATATATATATATATATATATATATATATATATATATATATATATATATATATATATATATATATATATATATATATATATATATATATATATATATATATATATATATATATATACATATATATATATATATATATATATATATATATATATATATATATATATATATATATATATACATATATATATATATATATATATATATATACATATATATATATATATATATATATATATATATATATATATATATATATATATATACATATATATATATATATATATATATATATATATATATATATATATATATATATATATATATGTATATATATATATATATATATATATATATATATATATATATATATATATATGCATATATATATATATATTTTATTTTATGTATATATATATACATAAACACATAAACATACATACATACATATGTATATTTATGTATATGTATATATATGTATATTTATGTGTGTACATATATATATGTATATATATATGCATATACATACATACTCGTATATGCATTAACAAACATATGTATTTAAAGTGTATATATACATATACAGTGTGTTTGTGTGTGTATATATATATATATATATATATATATATATATATATATATATATATATATATATATACATATACATATACATAAATACATATAAACAGGGGGACATTCTCCGTACCTCGGCAGAAGGAGCCCAGCTTGCATCCACTCACCTTGAAGCGAATAAAGCCGAAAGCCAAGGACACTTTTATTATCCACCTTAAGTACATCTCTCGTGTCGCTCACATCTGATGGCAGCGGTGTCCACGAGCCTCACAACGCCGATAGTTCGCCGACCACGCCTCTGTTTCGAAGTAAGTCCACTCTTGTGTATGGCCAGTTTCCCACCCTTCCGAACACCTATCGATAAGTTACCTGTTTCCTTTAAGACCTTTGTTTTTTTTTACGTTTTCTCTGTAATTAAAACCTACGACCATTAATTCTCTTCTTGTTGCCTTGAACCTTACCCTTACACTCAGATATCCGCTGTTATCTATATATGTCCAATCACACAGCACGACCTTTCATATCGCACATTTCACCAGCGATTTTCCTTTACATAACTTAGACATTCTCCTCCTCCTCCTTCCCCTACATTCCCTCGTCCCTGTGCACCTCATTTCCTCTCTCCACAATGCCAACAGACTCCTCCACAACCACTAACCCAACCTTCCTCCAGCCCTATTCTGTTGTTACCAAGTTTGACGGCAGCTTGAAGCTAGACATAGATTCCCTGATCAGGGAAATTGAGGAATTCATAACCTAACCCCTCGCGGGATTTCTATTCAGAGCCTCTCATGTTGATCATGTACTACATAATTTTTAGCTTACGGCCTCAGTCTAAGGCAGTTAAAGAAGTTGCCGGCAATGACGTGCATGTAACCAACGCTTTATCTGCGACACCGACCTCTCCTCCCCAACCCCAACCCTCCACTGACCTCGCTCGTGTGCCAATACGCCAATCCAATCCGCCCCCCCCCCCCCCCCTGCTCTTACCTGCTCGCCCTAACCCTCGCTCCAGTTACTACTCCAGCTTGTCAGGACGTTATGCCGCTACACCTAACTCACCTTATCAGAACATCCCAATCCCTCGTCCTCTCTTTAGGCCCCCTGCGGTTACCAACTGGATCCCTGAAAAATCTGTCTGTCACAAATGCTTACATCATGGCCATTTTCCTCGCGTCTGCCGGAACAAAGACTATACAGAGTAGAATGCTCTGCTACTGCTAGCCATTGCAATAACCCCCATCTGCTTCCTGCACGCCTCAATGGTAAACCAGCAATGTTCTTCTTAGATAGTGGTTCGTCTGTCAGTCTGGCGTCCGCTTCAACATTGTCAAGTTTTGTTTTAAATCTCCAGATCCAACCTCCTCGCTGGTCCGTACGGGGTGCTTCTGGT